CCCCCCCCCCCCCCCCCACTGGCTAGAGAATTCTGGGAGTTGAAGTCCACACATCTTAAAGTTGCCAAGGTTGAGAAATACTACTCTAGATGTGTTGGAATTTCAACTCCCAGAATTCCTAACCTCCCAGATATCCTGAGTGAGATTCTGGGAGTTGCAGAATCAGCAAATCATGAGTGTTTCAAGTTGGGAAAGGCTGGTCTAGATCTGATTAGAGCTAATATTCACCCCTAAGTTGAACAGATACAAATAGATTTTGCTGCAGGTAGAAAACAGATTATGTGGTTGTGAATGCAGGAACAGCATCTATTTTCCCGTATAATCTTCAGTGGGCACATCAACATTAATCTGGAGCTGCTTATACATGGTTGCATGTAAGAAAGCAAGGTATTTCTAGGGGGAGGGTCATCAGCCTCTATACACATATTTATCCATATACTTGTTGCCTAAGTAATCCATTTTTCCTCCTTTGGGTTTTCTGGTGGAAAGTACAATGTAGCCTGTGTTCAAGTAAAAAAGGAGCTATATTTTAATTTACTTTTTGATAATGTGCTGAAAACAGGCCTTCAACACTTAATTTGTCTCCAATTGATCTTCTGTCCTTTTATCTTCCAATTTTACAGGAGATGCCATTTCAAAATATTACACAGTTCTTAAAATGTGGAACACTGAGTGCTCAGCAGATAAATAGTAATGGTTTTATAAAAGACCATTGCAGTACTACAGTATACTTCACAGACATGGCAAGACAATATGGTTCAAGAATTGCTGCTTTTATACGATACAAAAGCAGGTAGAAAATTGTGATATCTGAAATAATGCAATTTTCTCCTGTGTGTCTGTCCATCTATCTATCCACTGAGGCTTCTATACTACTCAATTCTTATAGGCTCTGAGTGGCTTACAACCATCAAAACACAGGGTTAAAAAACATCTAATACATAAGAAATTCCTAACTAACATGCTATAATGTGCCACCCATGGGGTAGGCTAATCCTCCAGTTCTGAGCACCACAGTTCAAAATTCAAAACCTCCACAATTCAGAGGAGGACTACCAAGATAGTATCTGGAAATGAAGTCCGATGAGGAATTGTTAAAGGATCTGGGTATGTTTAGGCTACAGAAAAGAAAACTAAAGAAGATATAATAGCAGTCTTCAAACATTTGAAGGGCTGTCAAAGAGAAGAGAGAGTAAATTTATTTTCTACTGCATCAGAGAACCAGATTAGAGCCAATGAGTTAAAATGGCAAGGAAGGAGATAGGCTAGACATCAGGAGAAACTTCCTGACTATACAAGCTCTTAGCCAGTGGAACAGACTGCCACATGACCTGATGAGTTCTCCTTCACAGACTGAGGTGAGATCGTCATCTGTCAAGAGATGCTCTAGTAGATCCAGCACAGCAGAAGGTTGGATTAAATGACCTTCTGTAGTACATTCTCCATCTATGATTCTACAGTATATCCCAAGTAGCTGTGAGAGGATGGTGAAAGCCAAAACAGCCGTAAGTATGGATGGTCTATAGAAGCCCCATTTTTGTAGGGTTCTCTAGTCTTTCCTCAGGAACAGGATAGTTGAAAAGCAAGTATTTTAAAAATTAAATATTTTTAAGACACACGCGCACGCACACACACACAGAGATGTGCAGTTTCCTTTTTATATGTCCCTTGTCCCAATTAAATTCACTGCTTGGATGAATTAAATTAATGCTTTTTAATTCCCAAATTGTATCACTGAGTAGTAATAGTTATTTAATTCACTGAGAATTCACCAGAGGGAGGCTCTGAGGTAGAGAAATAAGTGTCATTGTTCTGGAAAATTAGGATCCTAAGATACCTTTCCTGTCCTGGTGACATTCAGTTATGTTGTGCTGTAACTCCCGTCTCCCATGACAGCTGGTAAAGATGGGAGTTGTAGTCTACCATATCTGAAAATTTTCACATTGGGAAAGACTGCCCTAAAGTAGTGAGAAAAAAACCAGCAGTTTTTATCTCCTGAGTTATCTGTCATCAACTATTCAAACAATTTATACTTTATATAATTGGGATTCAACTTGTACTTACAAAATGTACATGTACAAAACCAAGGGCACTTGATATGATCTGGAATTTAAAAAATGGTAAATTTAAAGATCGAAATGGCTGTGCCTACTTTGAAAATGTTTCAGAGGAAGTACTCTGGATCTTGCACATGACATATCTGAGAACAGGTGCAATTAAAGTGGATTTCCCAAACTTTTCAGAAAAATATTTGGCCAGATTGTTTCAGTGACTCTAGCTGCAAATGGGATTTGAACCAGGAACTTCACACACATTTAACTATACTATTGGACTTAAATATACATAGCTAACTCTTCCACTGCAGGGAGCTCAGATGGCGTTACGTACTAAGTACCATTAAGTACGTACACAAGTCAGGGCAAAGTTCCTTGAGGAGATAATTATTTCCCAGCCTCCAGTAGCCTTGTGATTTATTGTTCTGTCCCACATTGTAGCAGCTGAATGCTAGTCTTGCTGAAACATTTAAAGATTTCAACAACAACAAGGGGGAAAAAAGCAACTCAGAACAAAGAAGAATGTATTTGAGAGAAAAACCATCAACACAGCAAGAGTTCACTGTAATCCATTAGAGGCTGGGGCCAACCAGCAATTCTCTGGTATATCAAGTCAGGCATATCCAGTAGAGAGTCAAGTATACAGCTCGTCCTACAAAATTATTTTTCTGTGGGTAATACAATATCCCATCTCCTTCCCCTTCAAAGGCTGCCACCCCCATTTTTTCTCCAAACAAGAATTAATCTCCTATTTTATTGCAGATCAAAATAGATGGGAGGAAAATTAAAGACCGGAAACCTGTTTCCAAGGAGACCCACCTGTGTGGGTGGGCCAAGGGGAAAGGAACAAGAAGGCTTTGCTTTGCTTCCAAAAGATGGAGCAGTGCTTGACAAGCTTAGCCACACGTGGGTGAGGAAGGAAGAGGTTAAGATCACCATTTGAACAACTGGAAAAACCCTACTGCTTTATAGGCCCAAGATACGTTTATTGTAAGACTCTCTCTGGCACCTTGATCCTGTCTGCTTCCTAGTTGTTCTTCATAACGTTACATCTACCTTACGTGCCAGACTTGGGAGTTTAGTGGGCAAGCAGGCAGCGTGAGACCTTGTGTATGAAGATCCGCCTGGGAGGAGTCAGTTTGGCCATTCCAAGTTTGGAAATGGATCATAAAGCAGTCGAAGTGCCATTTCGGACTTAATCGTTACAAATTCACAAGATAACTTGATCAGCTAAATTAAAATGGTTCATTTTATAGCCATTGATGGCCATTCTCCATGAAAAACTGTTCAGGTTGCTAGCCACCACTATAATATTATATATGGGAAATCCATAGTTGAACTATGCTTTTGCTTTGCTAATATGTCTTGGCATAGGTTATTCCCTTTTGGGTTTCCAACAAAAGAAGGGGAAATATGAGGCAGAAGTATTAAGTATGTTTGCCACCTTGAGTTATATATAAAAAAGGTGGGATAAAGAATGTAATCATCATCATCATCACCATCATCACCATCATCACTCAGTCCCACTTCATTCTAAGTGCTGGGGGTGACAGAACAAAGTGCCCCCCCTCCAGATAACCCAGGGATTGGGAGAAGTTTCCTTTAAATTTATTTATTTATTTATTTATTTATTTATTTATTTATTTATTAAATTTGTATGCTGCCCATCTCCCCCAACGGGTGACAATTGTAACAATTGCAATCATTTCTGATTACTTATGCCTTCTTTCCCTTTGTATCTGAACAGCATTGCTGTAACATTGTATTGCAGTAATACTTTTCTCCCCAATGGAAAAATGAAGCGCTGTGCCCTGTGCACTGGAGCGGAGACATCTCCATGTGCAAGCACATTCACTGTTGTACAGTATAAAAGGGAGTCAGGGAAAAGTAAGTCGTTGCTGGACGAGACAGTATTTGTTTACAGAACATAGCATTAGCTTTCAAGGGATACAGAATAGGGGACAAGTACTTTTGTTTATGCAATTTCAGTCAGCTGAGCACACATCTGCTTGGCTGGATGAGAAATAAGGAGCACCCCAACTTTAGTGGAAGGAGGTCTGTGCCCTCTGACAACTGTGCCAACAGGAGAGCATCACTGTCAGGAAGGGAGCTGTTTATCCTCTGCTCAGCTTGGCCACAGCTGTGCGTTCCAGGCCATAAGGGAGTGAAATTAGCTAGCTTCATTCTGCTCCCTCATCTTCTGCTGGGACCAAGGCAAAGGAGCTCATCTGTGCTGGCTTAATGAGTCACATCCCTCAGAAAGGGAGGCTGATTCAATTTCTGCTCCATTAATTAAGAGCATTTCTCAGCTCACAGGAGCCAGGCCCTCCCTCTGGGTTTGTAGGCCATAGTCCTTGCATTCTGAATCCAGTTTATTTTTCTTTGTTGACTCGACCCCAGCATGTCACAACCAAGAAAACTTACCATAGCTGTGAGAAGCTGTGAGAAGGTTTCATGGTTTGATGGTGTAGGAAAGCAATTCTGCTGGTTGTACAAAGAAAACAGCGTGCACAGACACCACACAGCTAAGCCTTTTACTGCTGTAAAAGGTAACTAAGGTGAACTAAACTTTTCAAACCTCAAGCAAACAGATCAAAATGAAGTGGATCCTTCCCTTCCTGGCACATCTTGGCTGCAGCATGGTTAAGTTAAAGAGTGGATTTGGCAAGCATCTTCCTCCTCGTAGACTGTGTGGAAATGAGATGCTCAGCTACGGATACCTTATCTATGGTCATGCTGTACATTTTGCACCCTCTGGTGGATTTGTGGTGAATGGCATTGTGACGGCCTGCCACTAAAAACAAGGGTGAGCTAAGACTGGGCTGGGCTGAGGGCCGGTCTGATGAAAGGGACCATCTGTAAATAACCATAAGTGGACCCTGTAACATGCCCAGAAGCCGTCTCGGTCTAGGCTGAATTCTGTCACAGTCCCTGAGGCTGTAGCTTTTTCTTCTCATCCATTTCCCACTAGCCTGACTGTATTATGGGCAACTACTGGTGACACTGGCTTCATTTGTGTCCATTTTGTAGAAAACGAACACCCAAACTTCTCCCAAAGGTAGTTAAGCTGAGCATTTTATAGCTAGAATTTTATTTTGTTAATTCAAGCATGTATGTATATGACTGAAATGAATGCATCATTTGTTGGTTGACTACATTTGTTGGATATGTATGTATATGTATGTATCTATGTATGTACATGCACATGCACGTGTATATGTATATATATAAATAGTATACTGAGTTTTAAAAGATATGTTTTTTAAACATACAAATGGCAGTGCTAAAACCTATAGCATGATCGTTTCAGATTGACACATCTATTCAGGTAAAATTGCCCATACTTTAAATTGGCTTCATTCACCTTATTGACATCAGTTAGGTTTGAGTGGCTTTGTAGCACTATGTGGCTCATTGATTAGGGACTATTGTGCTGTCATAGTAAAGAAAGATGTTGGAGTAGGACTGGGGAGATGCAGATTCAAGTCTACCCTCAGCCATGAAAGCTCACAGGCTAACTTTGGGACAGTCATTCTCAGCCCAATCCACCTTACAATGTAGTTGTTGTGGGGATAAAATGATACAATATCCCCATGGAAACTGCCTGGATAAAAGGGATGATGATGATGATGATGATGATGATGATGATGATGATTTTTCAGTTGGCTAGAATTCTGTGAATTGGCATCACTTGCTCATCAAAAACAATATCTCATAACCAAATCTAATTGGATGTAAACTACTGGATTGTCTATCTCAGTGTTTCTCACCCTTGGCAACTTTAAGATGTGTGGACTTCAATTCCCAGAATTCCCCAGCCAGCATGCAGCAGACTGGCTGGGGAACTCTGGATGTTGAACTCAGGTTGACCAATACTGGTCTATCTGTTCACTGTCTGATCTGTTATTGGCCACAATCACACATAGTTTACCAAGGGAGAAGAAATGCAGTGATGCAACAACAAAAGTAAAATAAAATGGGCAGACTGAAAAAAGTGAACACTTTCATATTCAAGTGTTTCACCACTTTCCACTGAAACATCAAAACAGAAACATTCTAATTAAAGTCATGGTTATAAAGCTGGGAAGTGAAAGAACCCAAAATAAATCACTTTCAAATAGAATCTGTTTATAATCCGCACGCATGAGAGCAAACTCTGATGCAAAACTGAATGGATGGCTCAGCCCTCGCCTTTCTGAGGTGTGCAGTCTTGGGATGGTCGTCTTCACTGGGCCATTTCCTCTCCACTGTTCTCCTTTCATCTGTCTAAAGAGACAAAGAAGGAATGACTCATTTATTTTTCAGAAACAAAGAGGCACCCAGGTAGACACCCAGAAAGCCCAAAGAGCTTGCAAGGAAAACTCAAGCATTTATTTTTAATTAGGAATGGGTGGAAAAAAGGGACCACAGAGGTTGTTTGATGAACTTGTCCATCAGAGAAGGAAGTCATTAGGAAGCAAGTCATGTAAGAAGGAAAAGAGCAAGGTTCTTACAAGTCCCTTCTATTCCACTCTGCTGCCAGAAAGGAAGAACAGAGCTGTAACTAAAAGCTTGGCCTTTATCTATATGAGCATTTTCATTCAAAAATGCGTAGACAGAAAGAGTTTTCACATGGCATTAAATATCCCACACACACACACACACACACTATTTGTAACATTAATTGAAAGGCACTTTTCAAATCCTGGACACAATCCAGCCAGTTTGGCACTCTGAGCTTCAACTCTCTTGTGAAATCAGTAGGACTGCAAAAACACTCTATTTTTGCCTGATCTGTCTTTTTCAGGATATTGTGAGAAAACACATTGTTCCCACTTTAGAGATGGAAAATTGTACATTAATATTGAATCCCCTCTCCCTCCCTCCCTCCCTCCCTCCCTCTCTCTCTTACAGTGAAGCTTTGGGGATTCATCAGAGAGAATTGGAAGATGTAGGAAGAATTCAATATTTATCGTCTTCGTTCTTCACAAGGCCAAATGTTGCTTCCAGATATGGACCATGCGGCCAAATGAAGGATCCTGGGGTTTGGAAGATCCCCAAAGGACCCCAGATAGGCAATGATGGCCACAGTATGAAAGGTAACATTCTGCAAACCAGCCAGCTGAGACTGTAGATGCTAGTTTAGAATTTGCTATGATATTGTTGATTATTCTTTGTTGACTATTATTGCTATTGATGATGAACGCTGCCCTGATTCGTGTGCTGAGTAGGGCAGCTAGATAAATTTAAATATTAAATAAATATTT